CCCCCCCCCCCCTCCAAATAGTGTGGGCCCAGCACTGTTTTACCACATCGTTACACAGTTTGAGCCATGGTTTTAGGTTTTTTTTCTTCTTTTCTTCTTGATTTTCAAGGAGATGGTTGACAAAATCACAATTTAAGGGCGGAGCTAATGAACTGCTGTTTCACAGAATTAAATCAAGTTCAGGAGCTATTGACATGTGTTTTGTAGAGGTAAATTTTACGCCCTTTTCAATGAGTATAACAGCTTTTTTCTCAGATAATCGTGGCTGGAGATTTGAAGCAAAGTTTCTCCTAAAATCAGCAAAAATGCGCCTTTTTTAAGCTAATTTTTGAAGAAAACGTTAATTTTACAACCCGAAAAGCAAGCTAGAAAAAACAGGGGAGGGTGATTTTGGTAGGAAATTTTCTTTTCTTTCTGCTGATTTTTTTGTTTTCTTTGTGGGATGAACCGTTGAGGAGATATTTGCAAAAATCTAATCGTGGGTTTTCTCAATTTTGAAAAATTCAAAACGGCGGCATCCTGAGCACCAGACAATTTTTTTTGAAGTTTTTATGGGCATTTTCGGACTTCTTTAGCATCTAGGAAATGAAAAAAATTGGTTTGGTTTGAAGGGCAGAACCCATGTTAAGCGGTGTTGTTCCTCAATTTATTTACTTCTATTAAACTGTACATGACATCTAGAAAAGTCTTACTTTCTAATTACAAAATTATGTTTTACGCTCAATCCGCATTTCAGCAGTTTCTGCGGTCACAATCATCAGTTGATTGTCAACGTTGATGGTGGCCAGGAGGGTAGGTATTACAGCGCATACTGATCATGAAAAACGTAGGTGAAAAAGTTTTTAAGTTTGGTGCACATTTTAATCACATAACTTTTACTGTCATGGAATAAATCATTTTAATGAGATCATTAATCTCTAACTCCAATTATTTCTTTTACAGCGGAAAGCTATTGAAAGATTTTGTGCAGAGGTAAAAAGGCTGTGCCACGTGAAAAGAGGAAGGATTTTGTGTCGGAAGCCTACTTGCTCACCCTAGGAAAATTTATCAATATGTTTACGGGGCTAGATAAACTGAAAAACATGAAATCAAGTGTGAAAAATGATTACTCTCCCAATCGCCGGTAAGTTTATGTCTGTAAAGTATTAAAAGATTTCTCTATTTTGAAGTTTTCTCCTGTGTACCTGAATGAAGATTACTTTTAAAAAAATGTGTGAACAGAAGTAATATCGCAAAATTCTCTATAAAAGCTGTCCGAAAATAAATATTTCAGTCTTTTACGTTTTAATAATTATAGTCTATTAGGACTGGAGAAAGAAAAGAAGAGACAAAAGTCACATCAGTCTGAGTGTAACAATCATCAGTTGGCCCATTGGTTAGCATGTAAATATCTGTTGAATGGTGCAATTTTTGGACGTGACATTTGTCTCTTCTTTTATTTCCCTAGTTCTATGTCTTTCAGCCATCTGACATATCTTCAATTGTCAAAGAATTTTACACAAATGTGTCAGGAAAATTCCTTTTCTTAACTCTATGGCAACCCTGTGTGGCATTGTGGAGAGTTAAGTCCTTTGTCCTTGACATCGAACAGTTTTCTCCCTTCCCTCTGATTCATATCAAACCTCCGTTGTAGCTCACAAGTATTGTGACAAGTCTCTATATCATTGCTTCTTTTTTCAGTGCCGCCCAGTTCTTGAAAGTTATGGCAGCTTCACACACCCTGCAGGAGTCGCAGAATTTATCCATATTTCTCGCCACACAGGACAAATTTTGAGACATGGTGAAAGAGAATTTGGAATAAATAATCGGTTACGAAGAGCTTCTGTCCAATCTTGTCAATCTGTGTGTGCACATGTTCGAAACAAAAATGTACCTAACACCCACCGAAAAGTTCATGCTGGTCAAAGTGAGTATCATGTCATCCCCAGGGTGTCTGCAGGTCTGGAAAACGGGGAAAAATCAGGGAATTTGATCACTGTCTGGAAAACCGGGAAAAGTCAGGGAATTCGATTGAAAACCGGTGAAAGTCAGGGAATTTTTGCAATTCGAACATTTCGTGGCTATTTTTGCTCGTCACTGCCGAATTGGCCGAGAAGTGCGCTCGCGTGGCTGATAATGTAAACTGCTCTGTTCAACCAGTTTGCAACACGGCCGTTAGGTTCATTAATGTCTGTTCGCTAACTTTAAAGATCGAATCGATCTGCCCTATTTAATTTATCTACTTAATTCATGCCAAAGGGCAAGATAGACTAAATAGACTTGAATGAAGTTAACTTGCTAACAGCAGAAAGTTACA